CACATGGTTTATTTTTTGGCTCGCAACTACCTAAAAAAATCTTATTAGCCTATTAAAGACCTCTCTTCGTGCGTTATTTACTTACGTTAATTTGCGCAGTTAAAAAAGTTGCTCGAAGACATGGAACTGTCAGAAATTTGTATAGTGTAATAGAATTTAATTTCTGATAAGTTACAGTTTGCAACTGTAATGTCTTGGTTGGAGATCAAGTTCAGCCAATTAGATTTTGTTTTGATATTCTTATTTACTTATTTTTGCTGCTGTTTCGCAATCAGCAGGTGGAAGTCGTTTGACTTCTAACTGTCTTGGGTTTACAATGGAATTTTCGAGAGCTTCTTCTGTTCGAGACAAAAAATGAGGTATTCTTGCCGTCTTTATTGGAAGCGTACATTACTGTTCGTTGGTGGAAGTAACTTATCTGTAACTTGACTGCTTAGAATTTTCAGGATGAGTAGAGTTATTGAGCTTTAGTTAAATCGGTTCGTTGTGTTTTACTGCTTTGAACTGTCGACCTGTGCAGTTTGTCGTTGCCAAATTTTTTGCTGCTAATTATTCGTTCTTTATTGACTGGCCCAGAGATACTCACAACCAAAGACTCTTCTTTATTCTTTCATGATGGAAATTAATAACGCAAAAGATGAGCTCTATTTTTTAATTGCAATATTTGAAGTAGGTTAGAAAGGAATTAGAATCACTTCAATCGAGGTGCTTTTCTACAGTTAAGCTCGCTGTTGTTAGAAAACTGGAGTATTTACAGGTTCCTTTTGGTAGAAGAGATTGTTTGGTGGCAGCTCAAGAATGTTTGGTGAATGGCTTGAAAGCTTGGATTTAAAGCACTTTTAGCTATTACAACGATGCATAGTTTTTAGAATGGATCGTTGCGGTAAAGAAATAAATTTTTATAATTTTTTGGCTTGGTTCTGGTGTAGATGGTTTTCCGCGCAGCACTTGTATTGCTCCTTTTTTTCTCCATTTGCAGCAGTCAGTTAATACTGCCCTTGATTTCATAATAATATTGATAAAATTTTGTCAACTGCTGCCTTTTCTAGTTCAAAGAGATGTTGAAAATCTCTGATGAAAGCATTTTCTGCTGCCTCATTAAGATCCGCACTTATGATGATAAAAATTTAATTTATGGATTACTTAGTGAGAAGTAAAGTTCTTTCTGGATTCCTTGAAGCAGCGTAAAAGTACCTTTGATGACGTGACGCCTTTGAAGTCCCTTCTAAATTTTGGTAGATTTCTCGTCAACCAGTTCACTGTTATTTTCTTCAGATCCATTTGACCTCTCAAAGTTCTTTAAGTTTTGCTGCATTTTAGTCCCATCTCCTCTGAATTCTCTCCTGTTAAAATGCTTTTTTTAAAAGTAATCTTACGCAGCTCCAGTTGTTTCCGGGCAATAAATATTGACGACTCTTCTGATCTTAAATGTTTCCAGCCAGTTTCCCCGTGCTCGAAACTCAGCTGCTCCAGTGTGTGATAAGTGGTCTTCTTCATAAATCTCCTCCACATGTCTTTGTATTTCTTTTACGGGTTCTTCTTTATGCGGTAGGAGTTCAATAACCTCGCGATGCGAACTCAGTATTGCTGTCCTTTGCGTTACTACCACAAAAAAATGTCTTCCTTTTTTTTATTTAGCCTTATTTAGAGACATTTCACATACGACAAAGAGGCTACGTTCTTGAACACAGACAAAGAAAACCTGGAAGATTTAGTAAAGCACCAGGTCTTGCAAATTCCTTAATTAGTCTGAATATCTAAGTAATAAAGTTGGGTTTGCTCAACCATCTTTTGCTGAAACGTTCTCCTACAGTTTTTGCCGAAATGAAAGGCTATCAATTAAAAATTTTGCTTTTTTTGAAGGAAACGAAAAAAAAGTTTTAGGGTTTACTGTTGAAGATGGACGCTTATTCATTTGCTGTTTTTCTATATAAGTGTTTTTATTCTTACCTGAAGAACCACTACAATGATCAACAATGTTTAGAATTACCTGGCGAGTAGCCCTTCTCATTTAACTGGGTTCAGACGGCTGCAAGGAAATTTATGCTTCAGTTTCAGTAAAGTAAATGCTTCTTATCAATTCTTTTTTTCAGCTATACACAAAATGGTTTATTGAATATGTTAGATAGAAATAGGCGAATCAAAGAAATGCCGCAGAAATTTCAACATTTCAAAGGAAAGTTTGATGTTATTATTTGTTTGGAGGAACGTGTATATGATCAGGTCAGTAACGCTCTTTGATTTGCGTTGAGTTTTAGCATTGCTGACTGTTATGATTTAGTTTTCTAGATCTTGGAAGATTTACAAACTCGTGAAACGAATGAACAAGAGAGCGTTCATGTGATAAATATTGATATTCAAGACAACCACGAAGAGGCAACAATTGGAGCTCTTTTTGTTTGCGACCTTTGTGCAAAGGTTAGTCTCCTGAAAGGTTGTGGCTTTGATTGCAGGTGTAAGGAAGATTGGTTATTAGGTGCCATAAACCACGGTTACCTTTTATGGTACTTTGTTATCTGAATATTTCTTGTGTTGGCTGATACATTTGATAAGAAATTGACACAGCAAGTTGAACTACATGTAATAGCAATATTACGTGGCATCTCAGCAGCCTAGTGGTAGAACATTATTTCGACAAGACATCGTGGACTCAGGCTTCCTGTGAGCCATGAGCTTTACTCAGCACAAGAGTGTCAGAAACGGAGAAAGTGAAGGAAGTTTTTTGACACGTTAGCTACGCTCTATCGTCCAGCGATCTTCAAAAATTGAACAAAGAAAAATACCTTTTCACTGCATCCAGATCTGCTAGATGACTTCCTAATCGCTTAAACTTCGATTCTTTCTTGAAATTTTCTAACATTTCAGCTAGAGGCCTGCGAGGATTTGGATAACGAGATTGATGAGGTATTGAATGAGTTTGAGCAAAACAATCCAAAACGAAATATTTTACATACTATATGTTTCTATTAGCACGTGACTCCAGAAGACCACCTTATTTGCCGTCCTCGTGTGCGAGTATTTCTATTAAAAGGATCCGAATGAAAAATTAAAAGATTGTTATTTTGAGTAGATTCCTTGATGCTTATTTTTTGTCATTTCTTAACTTGTGCGTTTCCCCTCCAGGTTCTTTTTTCCAAGGTTTAACGATTTGTTCATTCAAGCTCGCTGTACGGCGTTTTTCTACTGTCCAGTTCACATTTCTTTTATAGCTTTACTTCTTGAAAGGGTTTTATAGTTCGTAGATTGTTTTAGTCTAAGTTTTTCAATAGTTGGAGCTCTAAATGTTTGATGAAAATATGGTCTTCATCACTTGTTGATGCAACGTTGTTGTCACTTTCCAAATTTAATTTGGCTGGAACTCAAGTCAACCCAAACCTGTTAACCATTTCACTGGTCGCTGAAACATAATATTTTGCGGGTTTCTGATTTCTACTTTTTTGCTTTTGTAGTTTTTCTGGGATAAGATCTTCAAACTTTATTCTTATGAATGCCTATGAATGGAGATACTTTCGGATTTTCCTTCTTTTATTATCTCACTGCTATTATTCCTACATTTTCCGCAATATCTTGTTACTTTAAATTCACTGACACATCTCTTAATACTTGTATTTTTGCAGATGTTGCTTCTTTAGACAATTTTCAGGAAGTGTTGTAATTATGATTTGCTGTAGTTGTCTTGTTTTTTTTTTTTTTTTTTTTTTTTTTTTTTTT